GTTTAGCAGGCTCTGGCTGGGTTTGAACCCACCAGCCTGGGTGCATGTGGCTGGTGCCCTAACCACTGAGCTATGGGTGCTGAGCCCCAGCTCTATCACTTCTAAAGTTGTTTGACCTTGGCTGTGGCTTTGATCTCTCTGAGCCTCAGGTCCTCACTGTTCAATATGAATATTAATGACAGAACCTCATAGGGTTATGGTGAGGACTACCTGAGATAATATAGGTAAGATGTTATCAGCGGGTGATGATTTTTATTTGCCCCTGTCAGTTCTAGTGTCTAATATGCTGGGTTTCTATATTTGAACTGGTAGCAGAAGTAAGAGTAGACTTTCACTGTTTTCAGTCCTCCAGATTTTGTGGAAGCCTAGAGAAGATGGTCATTAAGAGCACGATTATAGGCTCTGCTTAGGAGCTTAGTCCACCTCTGGACTTGGCCAATAGATGGTAAATATATAATCCTTTAGAATGATAAGTGCATAGTCCTTTTAGAATAATACCTCAAGTGTTAGCCCCTTGTTTGTTGCAAGCTCTTTTCTTTCTACAAATAAAGTTTAATGGACTTTTAAAAAAAGTTTCCTGATTGGGTGATTGTGGTAGCTGAGGCCTATAATCCTAGCAGTCTGGGAGGCCAAGGTGGGAGGATCCCTTGTATTTGAGACCAGCCTATGCAAGAATGAGACCTGATCTGTACTAAAAACAGAAAAATTAGCTGTGCGTTATGGTGGGCACCTATAGTCCCAGCTACTCAGGAGGCTGAGGGAGGAGCCCAGCAGTTTGAGGTTGCTGTGAGCTGTGACACCACAGCACTCTACCTAGGGTGACAAGGTTGAGACTGTCTCCAAAAAAAAAAAAAAGAGAGGATTGCTTGAGGTCAGGAGCTTGAGATCACCCTGAACAACATAGTGAGATTCTGTCTCTATTAAAAAAATATATTAAAAATTAGCCAGGTGTGGTGGCGTGTCCCTACCCCAGCTACTTGAGAGACTGAGGCAGGAGGATTGAATTGAGCCCCAACGCTGGAAGTTGCAGTGAGCTATGATGATGCCACTGTATTCTAGTCCAGACAACTGAGTGAGAGCCTGTCTCAAAAAAAAGTAACATAAAATCTGTGGGGGTTTTATTAATCTCAGAAAATTTCAGATGGATCTTTTTAGAAGATGCAGCTTTATAGGTGGATGGTTGCATGTTGTAGTGTTGTCGAGAGTCTGTAGGCCAGCTTTTTACCGTAAGATTATTTACAGAATCTGCCATAGGTTCTGAAATCTTTCCATAATCAGATCTGTAAGAGGCACCCTACAAACCCTTCGGTAACTAGAATTACTTGAAGGTTAGTAAGAGTACAAGGGACCCTGAAAATACAGGAACAAGTTGGAGGATAGAATAGAAGGTGCCAAAAAGGAGATCAGAAGACATTGGCCCACCCAGAGTATCCTGCTTCTGAGAAAGTGGCTGAGTGAGTGAAAAAGGAAAAAAGGAGTGTACATGATCACCGCGGTCAGAAGCTGAAACAGTAGTGGAAGGCGTGTCTTAAATTCAGAAGTAGAAAGAGGACTGGCAGATTTCCTAGCTTGTCTTCTTTGTTTTTTAAATTTGTAGCTTTTGAAAATGAAACCTGGAAATCCTGTTATTTTTAATGGCTGTCACTGGAGTATCAATACTGGGCATCATCACTGTTCACTTTGTAGCAGTGGTAGTCATTTCTGGCATAGCACTAGTATTTTCCAAACTTTGTGACTCCTCCGCCTTCAGAGGTTTTAAACTCCAGTCTGCTGACCCTTTCCTAAGCACTGTAGGAATGTAGAAGAATC